CTGTACCAGCTCCATGACAAAGACAAGCGAGTGGTCGCTTATGCCAGCAAAACACTGCTTCCCCCAGAATGCAAATACTCAGACTGCGAAAAAGCTTTGCTTTGCACTGTGTGGGCCATCCAGCGTTTCTCCAACTACATTGGAGCTCAGAAGGTTATCATCGAAACCTGTCACCAGCCAGTAACCTTCCTCAACAGCCGACGAATCAGGGATGGCGTGGTAACCAACGCACGCATAGCTACTTGGCTAATGACGCTCCAAGGACGAGACGTCGAAGCAAGATATGCCCAAAACCACAGATCATATCTAGGAAACGGGCTAGCAGCCTGCCAAAACTGTTCACCAACCCCATCAGTGGCTGCTATCACCCGCTGCAAACCCCCACCTCCTCCCACATTGAACTCTCACCTCAATTCGCCACTGATGATCTCCTCACCCTCCAAGCTTCGGATCCAACACTGCAAACTATTGCAGCTCACCTTTCAGACCCATTAGCTCATCCCATTCCCACCTCCAACCTAGCCACTTCCTATGACCTCCGCACGCTCAACTCTATCAAGCACATGCTGCATCTCAAAGACGGCGTCCTCACATATGTCCCTGAGCCCCTCACTGCGCCAAAGCTCGTAGTCCCTCAGGGCCAAAGGGGGATAATGCTGACGCACGCCCACGATTCACCATGCGCTGGACACCATGGCACCAAGGCCACCTACGAAACGCTCAAGCAAGTAGCATACTGGCCTGGCATGCAGCAAGATGTGGCGGAGTACGTAAAAGGATGCCTGGTGTGTTGCCAGTTCCAATCGGCAAATCCAAACCACCGAGCACCACTGCAACGGAAAGGAATTACCTTCCCATGGTCGAACCTCCAAATAGATTTGGTGGGACCCCTACCACGGTCAACATGGGGTAAAAAATACTTCCTCACCGTGGTTTGTGAATTCACAAAATGGGTAGAGTGTCTCCCAGCTCCCAACGATACAGCAGAAACAACAGCCTGCCTTTTCATGAACCACATCTTCTCAAGGTTCGGACTGCCGTTAAGGGTCAACTCTGACCGAGGAACCCACTTCACCGCCAAAGTCAACAAGTTAGTAATGATAACATAATGTGTACCATGCTGATTTGTACAGAGGCTCCGTAGATTTGCACTTAACAAGCCTAAACAGACAGTGAATGAGAGAGTGATCGACTGAGCGCGTGTGATTAATTGCATCTGTCCTCCAGGCCGAGTCATATATATTTGTGAAAATATGTTGTCATGTCCAAGGAAAGCCTTCTAAAGTGGCACTCAAAGTTAAAATGATTTCAACAGAGTGTTTCATTATGTCTCTTCGAATGAATGAATCACCGTTTTTGAATGTGTAGTTCAGGGGTGGCGAACGTCGGTCCTGGAGAGCCGCAGCCCTGCAGAGTTTTGCTTCAACCCTTATCAAACACACCTGAACACGCTAATCAAGGTCTGAAGGGTTACTAGAAAGCTACAGGCAGGTGAGTTTTAATTAGGGTTGGAGCTGAACTCTGCAGGGCTGCGGCTCTCCAGGACCGGAGTTCGCCACCCCTGGTGTAGTTGAATGACAGTCCCTTTCCACCACCTTGTGGCGCAACACTGTAACTGCACTGACTGACAGCCCGTCTAGAACGGTGCAGGTGGAAATCTCAATAGAAAGTCTCTTGTCCAGTCAGATTAGAAGATCAGATTACAACTAGGCTAACTGTTATACATATAGGCTAACCATAGCCTAACAATCTTATTGTCAGGTTTATGTTCTGTTATGTGGACCGTTATTTTGTCATTCTCTTCTACTTCACTTCCTGTTTCAACGCTATTTGGTTTCGGTGTCATCGTCTTCTGAATATGACCTCATTAGTTATATCGTAACACATACACAATTTATATTTATATTTATATATATATATATATATATGTATGTTGATAATACCGCATACCGCGCTATTGAGCCACTCAAAATTACCGCAAGGGAAATTCCCTCACTGCGACAGCCCTAGATACAGACCTTATTACGTGTTTGAGAGTTTTGCTTTCAGCGGTGGCTGCATTTTTTCCAAACATACCAATGTATTACCATTCCATCACTCTCTCAAGTTTGGATGTCAAAACCTTTATAACTTTAATAAAGAAGTGTAACAGATGCATGGTGATATAGGCA